AATAGACACTTCTCAGAGGAGGACATACAATCAATCAACAAGTACATGAAAAAATGCTCACCATCTCTAGCAGTCAGAGAAATGCAAATCAAAACCACCCTAAGATACCATCTCACTCCAGTAAGATTGGCAGCCATTATGAAGTCAAACAACAACAAGTGCTGGCGAGGATGTGGGGAAAAGGGTACACTTGTACATTGCTGGTGGGACTGCAAATTGGTGCAGCCAATTTGGAAAGCAGTATGGAGATTTCTTGGAAAGCTGGGAATGGAACCACCATTTGACCCAGCTATTCCCCTTCTTGGTCTATTCCCTAAAGACCTAAAAAGAGCATGCTACAGAGACACTGCTACATCAAGGTTCATAGCAGCACAATTCACAATAGCAAGACTGTGGAACCAACCTAGATGCCCTTCAATAGAGGAATGGATAAAAAGAAATGTGGCATTTATACACAATGGAGTATTACTCTGCATTAAAAAATGACAAAATCATAGAATTTGCAGGGAAATGGATGGCATTAGAGCAGATTATGCTAAGTGAAGCTATCCAATCCCTAAAAAACAAATGCCAAATGTCTTCTTTGATATAAGGAGAGTAACTAAGAACAGAGTAGGGACGAAGAGCATGAGAAGAAGATTAACATTAAACAGGGATGAGAGGTGGGAGGGGAAGGGAGAGAGAAGGGAAATTGCATGGAAATGGAAGGAGACCCTCAGGGTTATACAAAATTACATACAAGAGGAAGTGAGGGGAAAGGGAAAAATAATACAAGGGGGAGAAATGAATGACAGTAGAGGGGGTAGAGAGAGAAGAGGGGAGGGGAGGGGAGGGGAGGGGGGATAGTAGAGGATAGGAAAGGCAGCAGAACACAACAGACACTAGTATGGCAATATGTAAATCAATGGATGTGTAACTGATGTGATTCTGCAATCTGTATACGGGGTAAAAATGGGAGTTCATAACCCACTTGAATCAAAGTGTGAAATATGATATATCAAGAACTATGTAATGTTTTGAACAACAATAAAAAATTAAAAAAAAAAAAATAGACCCATTTTATCTCTAGTCACTAAAAGTTAAAGTTTCTTCTGCTTCTCTGAAAAGCCATATGTTAGAAACCATGTATGTAATCTGGCCTTAGATTATAGAAATGGTTTTCTTCTCTGTCATTATCTCAAAATTATAAGTTATATCTAGTAATGTAGGTCAAATTGCCAAATAATTCACTTTATGATTACACATGTAGTACGACAAAGTATTTCTGTATTGATTTTCATAAGAAAATATGTTTTCTGGCATCCCTATACAATTTGGAACTATATCCTGTGATCTAATCACGGCTTCCTAGAGTTACACCATTTCTTTTAACTCTGTAGAAGTGGAGACTGAAAAATTTTGAGGAGTTAGTTAAGCTTCATACCTGGGATGCAGGTCTGCCTGTGAGAGAAGCAGTTTATGTATCCTAGTCATTATATCTGATTTTGATTGCATTGCAAAATTGAGAACTTTCAAGGTGAACTAGCCAGGGCAAATTTCTAAAGTTAATGATGGACAGACTACATAGAATAATTTGAAATGTAAAATAAAAGGAGAAACTCAGTTAGAGGCTTTTATTCAAATAAGCAAACTTGTGCTTTTCTAAATGATTCCAACTACATTCTACTCATTTATTCACAAAAAGTATTATGAAGAGCCTAATGAGAAAAGAGATAAAAAATTGCCAAAGAGGGTATTATATTTTAGACTAGATGGTAAGGGTTGTCCCTCTGTGGAGTGCAAGCTTGAACAGAGCCTTTAATGTCATGAAATTTATGTGGAGATCTAAGTAAAGAAAATTCCTAGCTAGAAGGATTAGTCAGAGAGTAGAAACAAGGAATAAGGTACAAGAAAGGCAGTGTGATGGAAGAAGTAAATTAGGAGCGGGGAGAGAAAGTGAAGTATATGTGGAGAGAACTGGGGCTGGAAGGGAGAAAGATGATGCAAAAGAGCCCTGAATATCATGGTAAAGAGTCTGGATTTTATTTAAATGAATGGGAAACAACTGGAGAGTTTTAAGTAGGGAGATGACACTATATGATTTATATTTTCCAAGACTCGGGTAAGAAAACCTGACCACAGGACTATAAGAATGAACCAAAGGAGATCAGTCTGAAAGCTATAACAACTGCTCAAGAGGTGACAACAGATGCTGAGGCAACAGCAAGTGAGTCAACAAAAAATGATACAACGTGAGATGTGGTATGATAGAGCTGAAAGAACTTGCTGATAGATCCAGGATAATACTTAGGTTTTTGAGTTAGCTATCTGGGAAAATTGTGGCACCATTAATTGAACTGAAGGGAAATGGGAGAATAACAAGCTAGGGAGAAAAAAACACCAACGGGTGGGTTTTAGACATGTTAAATATAAGAGATGTATTTGATATCCAAGAAGAGATATTGATTGGACTAAGAAATTTGTACTCAGGGAAAATGTTAGCGCTGGGGATAAAAATTAGAAGTACCAACATAAAGATTGTATGTAAAGCCATACGAGCCACTGAAATTTTTAAGGGATCATCTTGGGACCGAGTTTAGATGAAAAAAGAAAAAAAGGTAGACAATGAATTCCAGAGCCTTCTTGTTTAGAGACTGGGAAAAGGAAGAAGACTAGCAAAGGAGACTGATTATGCTGCTGGCATGGTGGAAAGAAACTCAGAAGAAAATGATAATTATGGAAGCCAAGAAAAAAAATGTAATAAAGAAAGAAGGAGTGATATGCTATGTCAATGTTGCTGAAAGCCTGAGATAAGTATACCAATACTTTATAAAAAAAAGTTCTTACAGAAATATTAATATAAAAATTAGAGGCTCTGCATTTATTTAGTTGGAAAAATGAGTTTACAGAAATGCATTATTCTATAAATATTAATTAAACTATCACACAGTAAAATTTAGTCTTTAATCTGAAAAGAGTGTGACAATTGTATAACATTAGTTTTTATGTCAACTACAGCCTTATCACAAGAATAAAACAATTAGCCCAAAAGTCAATCAGAAGCTTCCTTGACAGACTACCTATAGGTGGGAAAGAATTTCTTCCAACTCTGAAGAATTTTATCAGCTGCTATGTGAGCTGTTGAGGCAAAACAGTAGGATCCTAAACTTTAACAAATGGACTAATACTAAGTTCTCCTGTCAAAATGCTCCCTTATCTGGTATATATTCAAAAAATATGTTCATGGAATGTTACTCAACAGTAGTTTAAGTAAAACATCTTAGAAGGCTAAAAAGTAGAATGAAACAAGATAATATTAAAATCCAATCCAAAGGATACTATTAAATTGTCTATTCCTCAGACCCCCTCCATCTACATCAGGAATCCATAGGTTTATCACATAAGTGACTAGATTATTTAATATACCTACAAATGGTGAGTGCCAGGAACATAGTAGCCCTCAGTAAAAAGTTGAGTTGTTTTGAACTTAATACATACTTTTGGAATTTTTTAGTAAGCTCTACTATATAGGATTCAATTTATAACTGTTCCTCAGAAGAGACTTAACCAGTTCCAAAGAGGGGGAAATAGTCTCAAAACATACTGGTTTACTCAATTGCTTTTTTTTTTTTTTTTTTTAATTCTTTGGCAAACTTATGTAATTTCATTTTCTTGTCATTGATTTCCCTATACTATCAAAAATGATGCTTTCTTTACTATTTCTAACTAATCATAAAATTGCTAAAAAACTAAAATTCAATTTGCCACATTACTGTTAATTTGAATAATGGCTGAATAAAACATGGGAAACGCTGAAGCAGCATTGATTTCTAAAACATCTTGCACTTTCCTCCTCCATCCCTGTAAAGTAAAGCTCGGATGCTACGCACAATTACACAAGAAAATCAAGAAAGCCATTACATTCAGCATTTTGTCATGATCATTGTTACCATGGCAAAAAGTAGGCTTAGTTTAGCACAGCTGCTACAGGCAAGGTCCCCTGGCCTTTTGTAAAGCTGAGTAACAATATAATGCCAAATTCCATAGCCTGCCACTGTTTCTTTTCCAGGACAAGGCTGTTGTCCACAGATGCTACTATCTCATTCCTTAATGCTCTGGCCCAATGTCATCTTATTTCTGTATTGTTCCTGGTGGTCAGTGACCAAAAAATGTAGTTAATCTAGGAAGGTTAACACTTGACATACCTCCTCTCCTAAGAGGAAAAAAATGTGGGGTGTGACAATTTAGGCCTGCAATAATAGTAAAAAGTGAAGTTTCAATAATTGCTTTATACAGGAAATTAGCACTGTGCTGGAAATATTGCAGGCTTGGGAGTGAGAAAAATAAATGCAAGCCCATGGTAACCAGCTAACTGGAATATTATTTCTTTCTTTGAGAATCAGATTAGTTATTTGCAAAATGGGGGAAAAAAACTAACTTCCTTGTGAGGATTAACTGAAACAGTCTGCAGGACCTGGCACATGGTAGGTACTCAATAAAATAGTATTATCCTCACACTAGCTTTTTTAATTGCTCAGATTATCATCTCTTCAAGAATGTTGATAGAAGTTGGTAGATGAACTGTTTTCTACTGTTGGAAGGTAAATTATTTTCATCTTTCATATTTGGATATTTTAGAGAGTTGAAGATAAATTATTTTTTAATGGTTTCACAGTAAGTACAAATTTCACATCAAAATGATAAAAATCCAGTGTTTATATCATAATGTGCACATCTTGTCATCCATATTTTAAGTGACACCAATGTTATCACCATAAAATAGGGAACAGAGTATATACTAATTGTGACCTTATGTGGAGATATTTAGTTTTAAAAAATAAAGCAACATTATGAAAGCAGAGAAGTTTCAGTGATCTGAAATGAATACATTAATCAAGACCCTATATTTACTAGGGGAAAAAAAAGGCTACTAGCATTTTTACCAGCTAAACAAAATATTTTTTCTAATGAGATTTCAGCTGAGTATCGTTTATCTTAAGAGAAAAATAATGGGACCTTACCTATTCCAGTAGCTCCAGAACTGGTCATGCAGGTAGGCGTGGTGGCTACATTCATCACCAAATGAGGCTTTGCTTTCAATCCAGTGAATTATGTGCCCTTCTACAGCTAAGGGACAAAGCATTACTAATACACAGTGAGGGGAAGGGAAGATTGAAAATTCTGAACTCTGCACAGGCCTCTCTACGCTTCACGTTAATGAGCAGAGGGTTAGCCCTTACCTTCAACTATGGATGTAATTATGAAACAACGCATTGTGCATGTTCATCACAAGTAACATTTATGCTACAGTCACATGCTTTTATTTTCATCACACTCTTTGAAACTCCCTTCCCTAGTTCTGAGACTACTGTTCTATAACTTGACAAGAGGCATGTCAAACAGACCAAAGTGAGTCTGGCTATTCAACAGAACTGTTTTAAAAATTCTAAATTTGAAGAAATGAGGTGAAAATGGCAACCCATTTCTTAAATATATGTAAAGTTTTTATGGCACAGATTCCTTCTGAACCTATTATTTTCTGCTACTTCAAAATCATCTTTTCCAACTATTTCACCCATACATGTAAAGTATTATAAAGCTAATCTCTGGTGACGTTTGCTAATCTTAACATATTAAAAGAATGGAAAAACATATCCCCTTTCCCTATAAACAAACAAATAAGTGAGTTTAAGGACTTACCAACTGGAACCTGTAAAATAAAGTCTGGTGTTTTGTCATAACCCTTTGCACGAAGCTGATCTTCATCTACAGGAAGAACAAATACTATTACTTACGATAGTATTCCATTAACAAGACACCAACATAATTGTTTTTCTTTCTTAAATATGTGTAAAAATTACTAATGCAGTCATACATATCTTTCTTATGCATGCAATACTATGTCAGAGTAAATGATTTTCTTAATAAACCTGAAGCACAGATACAAAATGCTTCTTTGTTCCTTTTGCATTTTTATGTCTTTATTATAAACATCATTAATCCAAGCTGTCATAGAGCCACTTTTTTTTTTGTAATTGAAAATACTCAAAACAAAAATATATACTTACCAATTGAAAGAAAAGAATTTCACTACTATGACCATCAGTAATCATTAATGTTATCAGCTAATATTGACAATTTACAACTAGGCCCAAGCACATTGGCCATTACAATTATGAAACAAATACATTCATTAAAGCCGATAAGAAAGTTTTGGTTTAACTAGCAAAACTATTCCTACACACAAGAAAAGGACAATGAGATTACTAGAAAGAATTAATTATCTGCTTAATTCCTCTGGCATGTCACTGTTTTGGGCATTTTATTAGCGTTTTACAACTAACAGTATGTAATTTTGAAAAGCAAACAAGCTTTAAGATTTTTTTTCCTAAGTCTGTTCAATTTCTTGATCCTTTGTAAACATCAATGATCCATTCAGAAGGAAGCAGGAAAACAGGAAGCTTGACAAAGTTGAAAAAACTCACAAGATGTTTGATTAAAAAAAAAAAAAAAAGATCCTTCAATATTTTCTAAATGCTGTCCTTGACTTCTAATGGCATTACAATGTGATTTCAGAAATGGGGAGTTCTCCATTAGATTTTGGAGTGACCTGGTCATTCAATTCCAGACATGGCTTTCTGTCTTCACCCAACCTCAACTAATGGCCCAACCAAGTAACAAGGAAGGCTGTGTGGTCTCTTAACACCTACTGGGCTGTTGACATTGCCATGCATCCCATTCGCCTTCCTGCATCACCTTTGATTAAAATTAATGGCCCATTCCCAGTGTTGGGTAGCTTATTTCCAATCCATTTGTCAGCCCAAGACAGTGGTTTCATGGCCAATGTTCAGAAACACTGTTTTAGAACACTCTTGTGTATATCTTGAAAGGTCAGCATTTTAAACATAAATAACCTTTTAATAACAAGACACATATTTAAGTAGATATTAAATTAAATTTTGTTAAAAGTCAAAATCTTTAACTATCCAGATTTTGAAGGACTGATACCAGAATTTGAAACAATTTTCCTTCCTTGAAATATACATATAAAAAAACTACAAGTAAACTGTTCAGATAATAAAACATAAAGTAATATCAATTTTAAAATAAGAGAAACTTGAAACTGGGCTATAGATGAATAAGATTAAAAAAAAAATCTGTTCTCTAACTGTACTTTGACCACAACAAGAAGAACATTAATGGAAAAGGCATTTATTAAAATAAGCTCCACTGCCTTGAGCTGATGTTTTAGATAGGTGATGAACAGTTTTAAAAGCTGGGTTGACATTAAAAAAGATAGATTAATATTTTATTAAAACTATCCTAGCTTGATCAACCTTTGCAGATGCTAAAATCTGTTTCAGAAAGAAAAATGATTATGTTTCTGACAGCAGCTCAAAACAAAATTTCAAAGGTCACCAAGCAATCCAAATGTACACAGAGAAATCCCTTTAAAAGCAGATACACACTTCTCTTCACTGCACCAAAATTACTAGTACAATACCTGCAATTTAAACTGCATGACTTGCTTAATGTGAAAACTTAAAAACCCAAGCCCTAAAATCTGAACACAGAACATCAAATGAGGCTAGGGAAATTTTCTATTATTTTGTGGAGAACTTCAAAATACCACTGGTGCATATTCATTACTCCCCCCTTCCACACACATGTATACACACACACATACTCCTTTTCTCCTTCCCTCTCACTTACTCAATATGAGGTTGATCAAACCAATAGTAATTGTACCCAAAGGACAGCATCTAGAAGTCTATGTCATCACCAGTAATATCAGACTTGTATTTTTTATAATAAGAGGTTATTCCAAGCATCTGAAACATTTCTTCCTTTATTTACTAAACTCTCACTGCCTTACATTACCTGTTTCAACCTTCATTGGTTTCTTTCATTTTAGTTTTCCTAAGAAAGGAGGAGGAAACAACTTGGCAAAGTTCAGAGGAGATAACAGAATAAGTACAGGAAGTCTACTTGTGAACAAGTGGCCTTGCTCACCTACTCTAGGCCCCAGGAGAAGTTTCTATCACTGATCATGTCTTTGGAAGACTTTTAAGGTCAGCCCCAACAATATGGCCTGATTTCCTGGCCTCTGCCTTATGCTTCTTTCTTGATTCCTCAGACCCTTAAAGATTTCTTACCAGTAGTTCATTATCCAAACCATTGGGTATAGATTTTAAACTGGGCTGACATGCCAGGGTCTCCTCTGGGACCTTGAGGTCATGTACCTCAGTGATCAGTTCATGCTACTTCCCTTCATGCTTGTTCTGTTTGCTCCCTGTACGTTGTGCATGGGCCTGCCTTTCATATCTTGCACTTGATGCTGTTTCTCTGAGGACAGGAATCTTTCCTTCTCATTTTTTAACATCCTAGTCTCATCACCAGCATATTCTCTATACACACTTAATGCTGAAAAAGGATAACTGAATAAAATACAGGTATATTAAGAATAACTGTGTTTTCATCAAAGCTTTCCTAGACTGGCAATAATTTTCCTTCCTATTTAACTCCCTGTGCAGAGATAAAACAGAGAGGTACCAAATTTGGCCCAAAGTTCATTTTATTTGATAATTCCTGCTGTTATTTTCTATCTTTGGTCCCTAATGTCTGAACCTAAGGTTCACCTCATTTGTAAAGGAGGGGACTGGGTGCCTTTTGTTAACACTGATGGGAATCTCACTTTTATTTATTATTTTTTTTAAAGTCAGTGGGTCATCAACAACATTGGACTTATGCATTCCTTAAGGTCTGGGAAGAATTTCTCCACAAAACCCAAGCTGTGTCTGGTGCTATTGCTGGGCCATCTCTTTGGTCACTTTTCCAATTTCTTTTATGTCTACTAATCTGTTCAGATTTTTGTCTCTTCTATAGAAAGTTTCACAGTTTATATTTTCTTTGAAAATCATACATTTCATACAGGTTCTAGTAGTACTTTCATATATATTTGAGCTAAGTAATTAGTTTTGATTCTTTGAAATGAGATGTTTAAGTAATCTGTTGTTTTCTTCAAGAAAAAAGATCAAGATTTAGAAAAAACATAAGAATAATATTAGCTAGAATGGGGGGTGATTAGGTCAATAATACAGGAGAGAACTTTTAGTATAATTTCCTCACAAATCAATCTCCAAGTTCTGCATTATACCTTATTCAGTGAATTTAGCAGATATGAAGTAAGGCTCTTCTGGTTTAGGTATATTCTTTTTAAATCCAATATAATTTGTAACTACTAAGTTCATTAATGTCCTAGTTCATGTGTTCACTAATAAAATAAATATAGAATATAATCACTTAAAAGCAGACTTCTTAGTCTTTAGGGAAAAAATGTAGAGTTTTTAGATAATGGCTGTCTCATGAAGCACAGTATTTCTGAGCTAGTTAAGTCTTAGAGTTACTAGCCTAATATTCCGATTTATTCATAATAAAAGTGGTCTAAAGAAGTTAAGTTACAAGACCTAGACTTCTCAAACTGTTAAAGATACAGGATAAGAGCCCACGTCAACCAAGCTACCGTTTGTCCTGAGGACCACATACCACTCTTCATTATGGGACATATTTAAATTTGATCATGTATAATACTTATGAAGTATATGAGGATTCTTACTTTCCTCTTGTAAGAACAGTATACAGCCACCTGTCAGATATTAGAGAATACCTGCATGAAGAGGAGATGGACCAGATAATCTTGATTTCTAGCACTCCAATGATCCTCTCCCCAATATAACTTAATAAAAAAATAATATAATTGCATCCAAAGATATAAATTGATGTTAATTTAAAAAATCTTTAAAATTACTATTATTTCAATTGTATAAAAACAACCCAGGTCTTTGTTTATTTTTAACTTGTCAGGCCTGTCATTAAGGGTTTGTTTTTAAAAAAGGAATTACACATGCATAAAGAACATTGTGAAAGTTTAATTTCTCTGGCCTTTGAATTACCTCTCCTCCAAATACCCAAAATATCCAAAGCAATTAAGTACTAATTACACAATTTCTTTTTATAAAATAAAGGACTGACTTTGAGTCAGAGAACAAAACACATCTGAAACTAGTTAACATATACTTAAGACTCATAAATAGCATGAAGACTATTAAGAAAAGGTTTTTGTTTATTTATTTAGTTTTATTAAAAAAAATTAAGAAATATCGTTATTCCCAAAGAAACTGCAAAATTTCAGTTCACAACATTTAAAAATGAAAAGTAACATTCTGATGTGCCTTTTCTCTATGAACTTGTCAAAAAGGTTTAACATGCTAGATTAAAATATATTGATTAAAAATCTTTTTAAGACCCCATGTATCTTTACTAAATTGAGGGAGGGAAAAAAATCACAAATTAATACAAATGAAAATTACTGTATATCTTTTTTAACTCTCGTATTTTGGTTTTTAGTGCTATTTTTCTCCAACACTGCCTTAGTCAATATATGGAGCAATCACCATTGTTCATATTTTTTGTCCCTTAAAAGTAATTTTCACAGCTTTTTCTACATAATGTAAGAAATTAGCAAGGCTTCAGTAATAGGTGTTACTATGATATGTAAACCCCGTGCAAAGGCACACGGAACAGATATATTGCATAGGGGGACTGATAGCGCAGATAAATGAAATCTTAACAGAACCCAAAATTTCATTACAGCCATTAGTTTCAACCTCTTCCCCCAAAGCCTCTTATCAAAGCCACTAATAAGGACTACAACTGACTGGTCTGACCTTGTCCTTTGTTTATGTCTTTAGGGGACAATACTAGGG